AGAGTCTCACTCTGTCACCCTTGGTAGAGTACTGTGGCATCACAGCTCACAGCAACCTCCAACTCTTTGGGACTTAAGCGATTCTCTTGCCTCAGCCTCCTGAGTAGCTGAGACTACAGGTGCCCACCGCAACGCCCGGCTATATTTTTGTTGCAGTTAGGCCTGGACCGGGTTTGAACCCACCACCCTCAGTATATGGGGCTGGTGCCCTACTCACTGAGACACAGGCGTTGCCCCACCCGCTATTTTTTTGTTACAGTTGTCACTGCTGTTTTAGCTGGCCAGGGCTGGGTTTAAACCCACCACCCTCGATATATGGGGCCAGCGCCCTACCCGCTGAGCCACAGGCGCTGCCTTTTTTTTTTTTTTTTTGAGACAACCTCACTATGTCCCTTTTTTCTGTTGTTGTTTGAGACAGAGTCTCACTATGTCACTCTCGGTAGAGTGCTGTGGTGTCACAGCTCACAGCAACCTTAAATTTTTGGGCTTAAGCAATTCTCTTGCCTCAGCTTCCCAAGAAGCTGGGACTATAGATGCCTGCCAGAATGCCTGGCTTTTTTTTGGTTGCAGTTGTCATTGTTGTTTAGCAGGCCTGGCCTGGGCTCGAACCCACCAGCCTGGGTGTATGTGGCTGGCACCCTACTCACTGAGCTACGGGCACCAAGCCAAGACATGTAAGATTTTAAGCAGCACTTTTTTGTTCTGAACATGTTAAGCTTTTTTTTTATTGAGACAGATTCTCACTATGTCACCCTCGCTAGCTGTTTTTTCGTTGTAATTGTCATTGTTGTTTAGCTGACCCAGGCCAGGTTGAAACCTACCAGAACCTTGGTATATGTGGCTGGAACCCTACCCACTGAGCTATGGGCACTGCCTATGTCAAACTCCTAAGGGAATTTGTCTTAAGAAGTCCCATCAACAAGTGGCTTTTGTCATCTCAACCCTTGTTGCCTGGCAAAGCCCAGCAGGGCCTCCTCAGTATCACAGATAAGTGGGCCTGTGACTGGCAAGCCTCTACAAATTTGTGGGTTTCTGGAGATACTGAACACATAAATTCCATCCTTAACAAGTCTTTTGCTATCTTAGCCTATTCCTGGGAGTAAATTTTGGGGATATCATTGGACCTGCCTCTTCTACACCTTTTTCAAACCTGAAAAATTACCTCCTGGCCTTTCCATGAAGAGGCTTATTTGGATTGGGTTACCTTTGGAGATTCTAGCAGTCAGTGGCCAGAAGATGGACTTTTTAAATTAGAAAGACCTGTAACATTTTTTTAAAGAGATCTCCTATTCTAAAAAAAATGCTTTGGGTTGGGCACAGTGGTTCACAACTATAATCTCAACATTCTGGGAGGCTGAGGTGGGTGGATTGCTTGAGCCCAGGAGTTGGAGACCAGCCTGAGCAAGAGCAAGAGAGTCTCTAAACAGAGCTGTGGCTTGGCACAGCCCTATACCCAGGGCGACAAAGTGAGACTCTACTCGAAATAAATAAATAAATATAAATTTATATGCCCTTTTCCTTATTAATTAGCTCAGTGCTTAGGGTGCTATACCAAGGCTGGTGGGTTTGAACCTGACCTGGGCCTGCTAAACAACAATGACAACTATGATAACAACAACAAAAATAGCACGGTGTT